GTGTGCTCTCTTTCTCTCTCTCTCTCTCTCTCTCTCTGATAAATAAAATCTTAGAAAAAATACACCTGACACTGTGCTCAGAATGTATAGTAGACTATCAGTAGAAGTTATTATGTTTACCTTCTAAAGGAGCTGCCTTCTGTTGTGAGATTTGGTATAATAACTATTTTCAATGTAGGTGGTGGCAACAGGTCTTTGTCAAGAGAAGTAGTTTATCAATAGCCAGGATGGCACTTGTCTTCTTGAGAGTGCTTATTCTCAAGAGTAAGAGATCACTTTCTTGTTTTTCTCTATCATGTACTACATCTATTTTTAATAGATCTCTATTTAAAATTATATATCCATGGTGCCTGGGTGGTGCAATTGGTTAAGCATAGATAAACTATGACCTAATAACTGAGACTTAATAACCTTGGTCTAGTAACTATAACTAGCCTTTGTTATCACTAGGTAGACTAGATCAATTATAAGAAATCATTGGGTTTTGTCACACCAGAGAAGCATTATGGATAATAGAAATAAATAGTGTTTGGGAAATCAGGGCATCTGACTTAAATTTTAGTGGCTTTTCATAATATTGTACAACCATCACCACTATCTAATTCCGGAACATTGTCATCACCCCTAAAAGAGTTCCCGTATTCATTTAACAATCACTTGCCATTCCCTCTTTCCCCTAGACCCTGACAAGCACATATTTATTTTCTGTCTGTATGGATTTGCTTATTCTGGACGTTTAATTTAAATATCATTCAGGGGGATCTCTGGGTGGCTCAGCGGTTTAGCTACTGCCTTTGGCCTGGGGATTGAGTCCTGCATTGGGCTCCCTGCATGGAGCCTGCTTCTCCCTCTGCCTCTCTCTTTCTCTGTGTGTCTCTCATGAATAAATAAATAAAATCTTTAAATAAACAAATAAACAAACAAATAAATAAATATCATTCAGCATGTGATCTTTGTGTCTGGCTTCTTAAACTTAATAAAATGTTTTCAAGGTTTATCCATGTTGTAGCATGTGTCGGTACTTGATTCCTTTCTGTGGCTAAATGATATTCCGCTGTATGGATATTTCATATTTTATTTCTTCATTCCTCAGTTCTGGGACATTTAGGTTATTTCCATTTTTTATGGAAACAGTAGGGTTTTTGAACATTTATGTGCAAGTTTTTTATTTGAACACCTGTTTTTAATTATCTAAGTAGAGGTGCTGGGTCATATGGTAATTCTATGTTTCTTTTTTAAGATTTATTTATTTTAGAGAGAGAATGCAGGCTAGTAAGTGTACGGGGGTGGGAAGTAGTACAGAGGGTGAAAGAGAACCTTGCTCCCACAACCCTAGGACCATGACCTAAGCTAAAATTGAGTCAGATGTCCAACAGACCCGGCACCCCCTGTGTTTAAACTTCTGAGGAATCACCAAATATGCTAATTTTTTTTAGACCTCAGTTCCAGCATCCCTGAAATGTGGAGGTTTGCTCATTTAAAAGGTGTTTACTGAACACTTCCTACAAGTCAAGCAGTGTGCTAGATGTAAGGGGTCCTTTCATGGAGCTTATTGTTTGGGGATAAGGAATCAGGAAGGCAGATGTTAAACAAATGATTACACAGATAAATTTTTTAAAATTTAAGTTCAGTTTTGGGGGGGGGGCGGCGGCGCCTGGGTGGCTCAGTGGTTAAGTGTCTGCCTTTGGCTCAGGTCATGATCCTGGAGTCATGGGATCAAGTCCCATGTTGGGCTGCCCATGCAGAGCCTGTTTCTCACTCTGCCTATGTCTCTGCCTCTCTCTCTCTCTGTCTCTCTCATGAATAAATAAATACAATATTTAAAAAAATAAATAAATTCAATTTAGGTAATTATTAATAATCTATATTATATTTAAAAACTGTATTTATTAATAGTATACTGCATTATTAGTTTCAAGAGAATTTAGTGATTGATCACTCGCATAGAACACCCAGTGCTCATTACATCACATGCCCTCCTTAATGCCCTTTACCCAATTAACCCATCCCCCCACCCAGCTCCCCTCCAGCAACCCTCAGTTTGTTTCCTATAGTTAAGAGTCTCTTATGGGTTGCCCCTGTATTTTCATCTTATTTTATGAACATAATCTGTTTTGTTTCTTAAATTCCACATATGAGTGAAATCATAATGATACTTGTTTTTTTCTGACTTACTTTACTTAGCATAATACTCTCTAGTTCCATCCAGATCATTGCATATGGCAAGATTTCATTCTTTTTGATGGCTGAGTAGTACTCCTGTGTGTGTGTGTGTGTGTGTGTGTGTGTGTGTGTGTGTGTGTAGACATATATATCTGTACACATATAAGCATCACATCTTTTTTATCCATTATCTGTTGATGGACATCTGGGCTTTTTCCGTAGTTTGGCTATTTGTGGACATTCTTGCTGTAATCATTGGGGTGCAGGCACCCCCTCCTTTGAATCACTATGTTTGTATCCTTTGGATAAATACCTAGTAGTGCAATTTCTGGGCTGCAGAGTAGCTCTGTTTTTAACTTTTTGAGGAACCTCCATACTGTTTTCCAGAAAGGCTGCACTAGTTTTCATTGCCACCAACAGTGTAAGAGGGTTGTGCTTTCTCTGCATCCTCACCAGCATTTGTTATTTCCTGACTTGTTAATTTTAGCCATTCTGACTGGTGTGAGGCAGTAACTCATTGTGGTTTTGATTTGTATTTCTCTGATGCTGAGTGATGTTGAGCATTTTTTCACGTGTGTCCATTAGCCATATGTATATCTTCTTTAGAGAAATATCTACTCATGTCTTCTGCCCATTTCTTGGCTGGATCATTTGGATTTTTTGGGGGGTGTTGAGTTTGATTTGATAAGTTCTTTATAGATTTTTGGATACCAGCCCTTTATTTGATAAGTCATTTGCAAATACTTCCTCCCATTCTATGGATTGTCTTTTGGTTGTTGTTGCTGTTGTTTTAAAGGCTTTATTTATTTATTTATTTATTTGAGAGAGAGCGAGCGACAGAGAGCTATCAGAGACACACACAGGGAGAAGCAGGCTCCTGGCTGAGCAAAAAGCCTGATGCAGGACTTAATCTCAGGACCCTGGGATGATGACTTGAGCCAAAGGCCAGACACTTAACCAGCTGAGCCACCCAGGCACCCCAGTTGCTTTTTAGTTTTGTCAGCTGTTTCCTGTGCAAAATGCTTTTTATCCTGATAAAGTCCCAATAGTTCAATTTTGCTTTTGTTTTCCTTGCCTCTGGAGATGTGTCTAGTGAGAAGTTGCCATAGCCAAGGTCAAAGAAGTTGTTGCCTGCATTCCCCTCTAGGATTTAGATAGATCCTGTCTCACATTTAAGTCTTTCATTCATTTTGAGTTTGTTTTTGTGTATGGTGCAAAAAAGTGGTCCAGCCTTCATTCTTCTGCATGTGGCTGTCCAATTTTCCCAATACCACTTGTTGAAGAGACTTTTTTCCATTGGTTATTCTTTCCTGCTTTGTGAAAGATTAGTTGACCATAGAATTTAGGGTCCATTTTTGGGTTCTCTTTTCTGTTCCATTGATCTATGTGTCTTTTTCTGCCAGTACATAGTGTCTTGATCACTACAGCTTTGTAATACAGCTTGAAGTGTGGAATTGTAATGCCTCCAGTTTTGGTTCTCTTTTTCAACATTTCTTTGGCTATTCTGATTCCATACAAATTTTAGGATTGTTCCATCTCTACACAGGTAACTTTCTAAATAAAATTGTGACAGATTTTATGGTGGGAGATGTATATGATGCTATGAGAACTAAGTGGGAACTGCTATGGGTGGTTGTCGGAAAAGGCCTCCTTTAGTGAGTAACTGTATTTTAGCTGAGTAAAATAAAATAATATAGCAACATCTAATATTTATTGAGTGTTTACTATTTGCCAGACACTGATTCATAACTTTTATTTCTGCTATCCGTTTTACAGATGAGTAAACTGAATAATTTAGAGGTCAGTGAACTTATCCTTAGTTTGTAACTAGTTAAGTGTGAATCCAGTATTCAAAGCTAGGCTATCCCATTGGAGCCTAGCATGATATTCTTCTCTTTCCTTTTCAAGAGAGGTAGCCCTTTTGCAGAAGCCTCTGAAGAAGGACTATACCCACTATTTTTGAAAGAATACAGATGTGACAGGAGTACACTGAAAGTAGCACAGGACAGGGTGGGGACTTGTGGAAGGCAAGCAGTGCCATAAGAAGCTCAGGAATTCAATGGGGCCAGATTATACAAAACTTGCTTAAAAAATTTGTTTTAAAAGATTTTAATGTTTTAAAAGATTTGTTTAAAAGACTTTAATGAGATTGGACTATGTTCATGTTTGATCATTTTTGCTGGTTTTGTCAGTGGTTAATTCTTTCTGCTTGAACACCATTTTCTTTAAACACTCACAGGAGTGCTTACCATTAAAACTAATAAAACTTAGGCTTCAGGATTCTTTACTTTCACGGGTTCCTATGAATTCTAGAAATTGTTAAGAACATATAGAATGTTCTAGGTGGATAAGGGAAGCTAGGCTGTAGTCAGTAAATATGGTAATGGTAATGTTTACTTACAGATCTCAGAAGGTGGCCCTCAAATTTATGTATAACAAAACCTGGATCCATTTCTTAACATTCCTGTCAATATCTTTTATTTCACACACTGATTTTTGAGAGGGCGTCTGAGGGAAGTTGGTTGAGAATTGCTGTCTGAAGGCAGAGTAAGAAGACTCTGAAAGGGGCCTAAACTCCACAATAGTTAAGTCATTAGACTGTAATGACACAGTAGGTAAAAATGGATTATTTTGTGTATAAGAAACTCAAAGATGGGAACTCTACCAAAATAAAACTACAAAAACTTTTAAATTGTTGTCTTGATTTCTACAGTTACATTTGTTGATAGTCTGTATGCATTGTATTTTCAACTTGAAATTGAAATTTTATTTTATAAATGTGGAAAAATACTCTTGGCTAATAACTTCTAATAAACTACTTTTATTCTTACTCTCAGGCGCCTGATCACAGATTCAAAAGTTAAGTTAAAGTATCAGCATTTAATAACAAATAGCTTTGTAGAGGTAAGTGATTTCTCTTAACTTTTCCTTTCTTAAGTAAGAGTAATTGTTTATCACTCTCGATAATAAGAAAGACCCAAAGGTCTTGGCTTATGACATAAACATAGTTTATGGACTTTATTCATGAGGCATACCAAACACTCTTATTCTCAAAGGAATGTGCCAAATCTATAAGTAGATGTCTCTTCATAGATCTAGAACTTTGGGTGATAAAATTATTTTTACAATATTCTTCTATTATTCCTAGCAAAAAATTATAGCTGATTTTAATGATGTGATGTTTAAGCATGTTTGGCAATTTAACCTTGCTAATATAATATCTCTGCTTGTTTTATTAGCTTCCATTACCAGTAAACTCTGTTAATAAAAAGAGCTATATTTATTTGTTTTTATCAGTTGTTTTTCTTTTATACAGAGGTCAGCAAACTATGACCTGTTTTCCAAATATTTACTTGAATGTGCCCATTTTTTCTATGACTTCTTTTGTGCTATAGTGGCATAGTTGAGTAGTTGTGGCCCTCAAAAGCAAAAATCTTTACTCTCTGGCTCTCTCTCTCTCTCTCTCTCTTTTTTTTTTTCAACTAGCTTCCTTTTTTTTTTTTTTTTTTTTTAAATTTCTTTTTATTGGAGTTCAGTTTGCCAACATATAATATAACACCCAGTGACTCTCTGGCTCTCTACAGAAAATGTTTGCCAGCCTCTGTATAAGATCATCAATGTAAATTGGTATTTTAATTCGACAAAGTAATTTTTATTTCTATTAGAAGATTAAACTGAAAGTCAGACCAGATATTCTAGAGAACAGCATATTTTAGGAATACTATATTTTTAAAATGGTCAATAAACTTGAATTCTGGTGCAGAATGTTACTTGAGCCATATTTTGTCTCATAATAAACACCTCAAAAGTTTTACTTTTTCTAAGAACTAAATTACGATCATTGCTATGTTTTAAAAACTGACCTTTGGTCTTAGAAGACATTTTTATGATCAAAAAGAGAAATTGCATATGTATTCTATAGCATCTAAACACCTTCCCTAAGTAGCAGTGTATCTTGATTTCTCACATCTTTGAAAATTGCCCTGAAGAACCTTAAACAAATCGATGCTTTTTAATGATCACAAATGGGTAATTATTTTAAAGCTTGTCATTAGGATTTTGAAGGTAGAACCAAGACACGGTTCGTGTACTTACAAAACCAGATTTTCAAGGTATCTGTAATCTTGGAAAAACTGCATCTAAAAGCATTACTTGGGCAACCCGGGTGGCTCAGTGGTTTAGAGCTGCCTTCAGCCCAGGGCATGATCCTGGAAACGAAGGATCGAGTTCCACATCAGGCTCCCTGCATGGAGCCTGCTTCTCCCTCTGCCTGTGTCTCTGCCTGCCCCCACCCCCACCCCCGGCTCTATGGATAAATAAATAAAATAAAAGTATTACTTTAGAAGACTACTAAATATTGGGGACAGTCTTTTATATGCTTGTGTCTCTGTCTTTGGCCCTTACAGTGGGGAAGCAATGTAAATAATTGCTTATTGTAGTAGGAAATATTGTATCATGATATAATTTGCTGTTGGTATTTATTTTCTAACTTGGGTTTCAGTGCAATCGACTGTTAAAGTGGTGTCCTGCCCCAGATTGCCACCATGTTGTTAAAGTCCAATATCCTGATGCTAAACCTGTTCGCTGCAAATGTGGGCGCCAGTTTTGGTAAGCATGTGATTTCCTAAATTGAAATAGTACATAGTAGTTCTAATACTATAGTAGAAAAATTCTTTTACTCAGGGAGATGGGTGATACTGATTAAAATAGTGTATATTTCTTTTAAATAAGAATTAAATAAAAGGTCACATCTTAAATAATATTTTTCTCTTGTTGCTCTTTTATCCAGTGGGGGAAAGAATGCAGCTCTAATCACATTTTCTTGTGTGCTCTGTTGGAACTAATATGGGAGCAAACTTACAGATATGGGACAAGAGTTCTCATTTCTGATGGAGTACTTATTATGTTTAGTTCCTCTATGGCTCTTGCTCTGTTTTCAAGTTATCTCTTAGGAAACAAAATACAGAGGATTATTTTTCCTTTGTTCTGAAAAGTTTAATCTTACTCCTAGAAGGAAAATGTGTGGATAAATTTGTAAAGATAAAACATGGTTGATTAGATATACTTTTCAACCAATATTTTCCCTGTGGCTTTACTGGCCCAGCTTTCCTGGTGACCTCCATTGTGGAGTTTATAACATACTCTTCAGCCTTTGAATTCTAGATTTGACTTAATAGAGAATTTCCAGTACCATGTATTTGTATTAGTTAAAATGATTTTCCATTTTCCCTGTAGATCTTTTAGGAATGAGAAACCAATCAAACCAAGTAGCTCTAAGAACTAGCAAACAGACATATTGGTATTTCATATCATTCTTTTTTTCCTCCACAAGCAACTATAGAATTAGACTTACACATCATTAATACTAAATATTTCCAAAAAGGAGCAGATAACCTTACAGAAATGAAATATGTGTGAAATACATGCTATTTTGGTAAAGATTAAATATACATTACTATTTTAGAGTTTATCCTATGGACAGGAGGTAAAGTCTGATTCTGTATCTACTTTAAAACATTTTTGTATGAAATATCTTGATACAGACCAAAATATAGAAAATAACAGCAGTGAATACTTATATAGCTACAAACCCACCCAGCTAAGACAGTGTTAGTATCTTGTTTTCGTTAAGAAATAAAACATGACACATTCATTTGAAGCTCCTTTGTTCCCTTTTCCATCTCACTCCCTATCTTCTTTTCCAGAAGTAAGCATTATTCTTGACTTCACTTAATTTGATAGTACTTTGTTCCCCTCATTTGCAAAGGATTTTTGCCATTCTTGAATTACTTAGCTAATCAGCCATTCAGCAATTATTTTTTTCATAAACATTTGTATTTATTCTTAATTTATACTTTCTTAAATGTATATAGCATGCCCCTAGAATACAGAAAGGAATTAACAATTAATATATTCTTAGGAAATATTTAGTCACACTCTTGTTTTATACCTTGCTTGGTACAATTTATAGGACTGAGGTTAATTTGTTTGGATCATGCAGATGTGACCTGTTTGCTTCTCAAATATTGCTCACTGTGCATTAGCATTAAATTATGTAATTACAAAGTCAGACCTTTTCTCTTCATTTGGGGTGTTAAATAAGAGATTTAATATATTCTAATAAAGCATTGATTGAAATTTAAGTTCAAATTAGTGAAAATTATTTGGTTTCAATTAATGAATGTTTACAGCACAAAACTATACATATGTAAAATGATCAGAAAAATACAGATCTGATTAAACTGAATTTTTTGTCTTAACAATTTGGTGGCTATTTAGAGAGTCTTTATAAAATTATCATCATAGCATGTCTTCATGCCTATAATCATTTCTTCATTTCACACAGACACACAACGATACATGGTATCCTAACACTAAATTCTAAATAATCTGTGGTGGAATAATAAAAACTTGGCTCCTGCCCTTGTATTTGCCAGTCACTAGAAACTGATGAAACCACTGAGAAACTATAAAACATGAAATGATTTGTTTACTACGTACAGTAGATAGGACTTAATTCTTTTAACTCTTGTGTTACTTAACAGCTTTAACTGTGGAGAAAATTGGCACGATCCTGTTAAATGTAAGGTGAGTTTATCTGGCACTTTCTTTTTTAAATAACGTAATAAAACACTTCTGAGACTTGATGACTGAAAACCAGGGCCCACAGTTTTGTTATCTACTTGTAGATAGAAGATTGTGTTTTTCCTTTTTATTTCAGATGATCATCTGAATTTTTGAAATTTTTGAAATTTCATTCCATAGGAATAAGTCTGATCCTAATGATTATCAGGATAACGGTGGTTAAGGAACCTCTCTGGGCAGGCTTTGTAATTAGCTCAGGGGGAAATGGCACATCTTGGAGCTCTGGGTTCCCACTTGGCTCCAGAGAGTCTTCCTTTGGTTGATTTTATATATACTGGATATGAGAACTCTAGGGTTCCCTTGGTTTATAAGGAAGTAAATCCAGTGATAATCTTGTCCTTTGCCTTTTACATTTAAGCTTGACTGTATTTAAATGTTGAAGTAATCTACTATCCTTTTTCTTAAGTCTTTTGTTGTACCCTAACAGTTGTTGTTTTCAAACAGTGGTTAAAGAAGTGGATTAAAAAGTGTGATGATGATAGTGAAACCTCTAATTGGATTGCAGCCAACACAAAGGTTGGTATTTTCCTTCAGTAAACTCTTTCCTTTTTTAGGGAAACTGTGATAAGAATAGGTGCATCAGCATTAGCAAAACAAGTAAGCTTACATAGTTTAGGACTTTGTTTTACCTTTACCTCAGTTAACATTTGGGGGGTTTGGGGTTGTTTGGGGGAGTTTGGAGTTTTCTTTGTTTTGCTCTCCCTGAATGCCTTTTTTTTTTTTTTTTTTTTTTTAGTTTTCAAGTTTATTTTATTGAGCACTACTGCAACAGGCATAGTACTCTTCTTTAGAAGTTTTTGTATGCTAGGAAAATAGAGTTTCCTGTAGAAGAAAAAGCTGACAATTTTTCTACCCAGGGGTTTGATAATGTTTTTTCATATCGTTCTTGCCTGCCTTTTAGTATAGAAATACAGAGTTTACTCCACCTAGCTTGGTTTTATCAGACAAATTTACATTTCTGCCTTTAAAAATCTCAAAGAGTTCGGGGTGCCTGGCTGGCTCAGCTGGAAGAGCATGCAACTCTTGATCTCAGGGTTGTGAGTTTGAGTCCCACACTGGGTATAGAAATTACTAACATAAAATAAAGAAACTTAAAAAAGAATCCCCAGGGTTAACTTTTAAGGAGTCTTTCTTTTTTTCTTTCTTTTCTTTTCTTTTCTTTTCTTTTCTTTTCTTTTCTTTTCTTTTCTTTTCTTTTCTTTTCTTTCAAAATTTAATTTTATGTAATCTTTCCCCAAGTATGGAACTTGAACTCACAACCCTGAGATCGAGAGTTACATACTACAGACTGAGCCAGCCCAGGGGCCCCTACTTAAGAAGCCATTCTTCAGAGCAGTATTGAGAGTAACTGTTTATATTATGTAACTGCACTGGGCTTAACATGTTTGGCATCTTTAACATATTAAACTTATAAAATATGATTTAAGAGACTTGACTTTTGAGAACTAGAGGTTTTGAGGGTAGTAATCGATATCCCTTGTTTTTTGTTTTTACTTTTGAAGTACATTACTGCTTATGATACTAGTTTTAAGATTCAGTCTGTTTATGGCCATGGACCACTTCTTAAACTCTAGACAGATGTTTTGTTCTGCAAATGGATGTATTCTTTAGCGCCCCCCCTTTTTTTTCTATCACTAAATAATTTCACTAAATCACCATATGTTTGAATCCCAACTGTGTTGTAGAAAATTGTGTAAATAGCCAATCTTTTTTTAATTCAGTCTTACGTCTTGTCTTTATTGGAAGTGACTAGGTGATGGAACAGTAGTGTTATTCATAGACTATTCATTCTTAGTATTGCCTTTCACATGTGAAGATGATACTTAAAGAATACTGAGTTGTTTGACCAGTGTTAGAGCTTTCTATCACTCAGTTACAGGATAGTGATAATAAGGAATGTTTAAACGATGGAGACCAAAACACACCATTTTATACCATTTGTCCCCTGTTCTACCCAAAAAGATTAAAATGGGAAAATATTTCTATTTCCCAGAAAGCCTTAGTAGTGAAATAGTCTTGTTTCATAAAACAAATGGTGAAATGGGTGGTTGAAATCAGTACTTTTGTGCTCTCTAAAATTATCTGGTAAAGCTAATTCATGTCACTTAAGAAAACCTTTCTGTGTTGTTAGGAAGTGATTACTTTTGTTGTTTAAAAATATCCTAGACAGGCATACTTTCTTGAAAATTGATTTCCCACCAGATATGTTAATTAAAGTCCCAGAATCCTTGAATATGCTCTGTAAAACTAGTATTTAGAATAGAGCAGTTGTATTTTCACTAAGTAGTTTGATTAAACTATAGCCTGCTTTCTGCATCTAGAAAAACCTTCCCGATACTTTAAACCTCCAAGATGTTTAAAATAGGTAGTACAGGGCACCTGGGTGGCTTAGTCCATTAAGCATCAGACTCTTGGTTTCAGCTCAGGTCATGATCTCAGGGTCCTGGGACGGAGCCCATCCTCAAATTGGGCTCCTAGCTCTGTGGGGGATCTGCTTTACCCCCACTCGCTGCTCCTGCACACGCCCTCTTTAAAACAAACAAATCTTTAAAGTAAAAAAATAGGGAGTACAGGTTTGAATATGTTTGACGTTGTTTAGAAAAGTAGATTATTGAGGAGGAATGACAGTAATAGTTATCTGCTTTGTATTTTTGAGAAAAACTTAAAGATTTTTTCTTGAGAGGTTTCAGAAGCTTTTATGTTTGGTATTAGCTCCTTAAACAGACTTGCAAATTATCGGTGGTATCCTGACATATTATGAGAGCTTAATATTATTTGGTTAATTATAACCCAGAAATGTAGAATAAAACAGATACTTTAGACCTGTAATTTGCTTTCTTGGGAAAATGTAGAATATGTTAATTGATTTCAAAGATTTGATTTAAATGTATAATTAGAAATTGCCATATTGACCTATTTAAAATGACTATAGTTCACAATCAGGGTAGTCTGTTTCACAAAGGCCAAATTGTATAAGTAATATAATGGGTGGTACTCCCCCCTTGTGGGAGTTACAGGCATCAAACAAATGCAGCAAAAATATAAGCTTTACATCTTATAGTATGATTTGCATTTTAGTAAGTTTGATTTTCTAGGTTTTCCAAAAGAAAAAGAAAACAATAGACCTGTAGAGTAATAACTTTGGCTTACTAGCAACCAAGAATATGACACAGATCGGAAAAAGCCATGATCTCTGTAGCACAGTTGTGAAGGGATCACAATGAGAAGAATTTAAAACACAAGGGTATTTGAGGGTGCCTGGCTGGCTCACTCAGTAGAGCATGCACCTCTTGATCTTGGAGTTGTGAGAGTTCAAGCCAGGTTGGGGGTAGAGTTTATTTAACTAAAACAACAACAAAAAAGGTAAATAAAACCAAGGGTATTTGACAGAAGAAAGTTGGGAAATTCGGTAGCTACATAAAGAATTTACCAGTCTTACCAGTCCCACTTATCTGATTCTTAAGACTCAATTGCATAGTCTTCAATCCTGAATCTACCATTTGCTACCTATGTGACCTCAGACTAGTGTTTTTATTATTTTTCTCTCCCTTAGTTTATTCATTTGACAAATGAAAATAGGATCACTATAAGGATTATAAATTAACGCATATAAAACACTGAGAACAATTAGTGCTATACATGAATTACTCAATAATTATTTCTAGATGACACTGGAGAGTTAACTATATTTACATGAACAATATGTTTTACCTCCCGTAAAACTATTATTACCACGTGTATGGTTAAAAGTACTTAAAATGTTTTTGTCCCCCAACCCCACTAAAACACATCTTTTAATTGTGTATCCTAAAAGCCAGTAATAATAATAGATAATTTCTAGTAGTACTTAACTGTATTCCACATTGTTCTAAGTGCTTTACATGTATTAATAACAATAAATGTGGTATTTAAAAATAAACCAAATCTAGAACTGACTTCTTTTCGGTGGTAGTAATACAACCTAGTGTGTAGCATTGACACCAACTTTATAGTTTCTCTTCATAGGAATGTCCCAAATGCCATGTCACAATTGAGAAGGATGGCGGTTGTAATCACATGGTCTGTCGTAACCAGAACTGTAAAGCAGAGTTTTGCTGGGTGTGTCTTGGCCCTTGGGAACCACATGGATCTGCCTGGTAGGTTGGGGAAATGAAGGGGAGAAAATCTTCACATAAGTATGTAATACATGCCATGTAATTACAAATAAAGTTTCTACCCCATGGAAGTCACTAACTTGAGAGCTAGATAAATTAATACAGTGTGTGGTCATTGTTAAAAATATATGCAAGATGTCTGGAGCAGGGATAAATTAGGCATATTTCACAGAGGAGATAACAATTGGGATGAATTTTAAGGGAGATTAAGAAAGAGGTCATTAGTTGAAAGTGGTAGGAAAAGCATTTAGGGCAAAAGGAGCAGCATGAACAAAGCTAGAATGATGTGAAAATACATGACTTATTTAGAGAAGACTTGCATTGTCTAATATGTCTGTCTAGGCAGTAGTTGAAAACTAAGAGCTTATTGGTAAAACCCAACCCTCAATTGTGTTTTACTTATCCTTGTATGCTATGTGTCCCTAACTTTAAAAGTTGGAAAATTGGGCAGCCCCTGTGGCGCAGCAGTTTAGCGCCGCCTGCAGCCCGGGGTGTGATCCTGGAGACCTAGGATTGAGTCCCACGTTGGGCTCCCTGCACGGAGCCTGATTCTCCCTCTGCGTGTCTCTGTCTCTCTCTCTGAATAAATAAATCTTTAAAAAAAAAAGTTGGAAAATTGCCTAAGCAATCCAGATTTTTAGCCTATCTTTGAAACATAGTCCTCCTTGGCAACATTTGTTTGGAATTGATTAGTAGCCCCAAAGATGAGGCCTTTACTTTCTAGTTTGATGTATTCCCCTAAGACTGAATCTTAAAGGTATTTGCATGTATCATCATGACACTATATTTAGAAGATGCCATTATATTTAGGAGAGATAATATCTTTGTGCATATTTCTTAGCAGTTTAGGAAAATGCAAGTTAGACTTGTGATGCCTTGAGTTTTTTTTTTTTAATAAATTAATTTTTATTGGTGTTCAATTTACCAACATACAGAATAACACCCAGTGCTCATCCCGTCAAGTGTCCCCCTCAGTGGATGCCTTGAGTTTTAAGAAAAAAAGGCAGCTAGCACATCTCCTGGTAAAAATGAAAGTATTTCTGAGTGTTGTAATATGCAAATGACCCATTCCACGTATTTGTGTTACCCACTTTATTGGCGTTTCAGCTTGTGGCCCCTCTGAAGTTGTGGGGCATGGAAAAAGAGTTAGACAGTAGACTGGGACCTAAAGCAGTTTGGACACTACCAGAAGGATTTTAAATGGGGAGTGATCTGATTAGATCTGTAATTTAGATGAGACGGCTCTGTATTATGTGCTTTACATACATTACCTCAGAATTGTGGCTGCTTTCTAGAGACTGAATGGGAGGGGAAGAAATTGCAGGTTTGGGACAGGAAGAGGATCTCATCTTTTTTTTTTTTTTTTTTTTAAAGATTTTATTTATTCGTCAGAGACACACACAGAGAGAGAGAGAGAGACAGACAGACAGACACAGGCAGAGGGAGAAGCAGGCTCCCTGTGGGGAGCCCCATGTGGGACTCGATCCTGGGTCTCCAGGATCAGGCCCTGGGCTGAAGGCAGCGCTAAACCGCTGAGCCACCCGGGCTGTCTAGAGGATCTCATTTTAAGACAATGGCAAGTGATTTAGTTTCATTGGAACTTTTATTAGTTTCATTCAAGGAATAGTGAGAGAGCTTACTTGCCTGAAATTAATTTTGAATTAGGTAAAAACTAGTTGGTTATGTGGAAATAAAGTTATTTTGCTACTGCTAATGCCTAGGAGAAGGGTGTTTGGGGGTTAGCCCAACAGGTACTCTGGATTTTAAAAGCAAACGGGGATTACACTATTCCCAGAAACTAAATATTTAAACCAACAAGCCTAATGAATGGAGAAGAGTTATTAAAAGATATGTTTCTTGCTAAAGATACTTCTTTTATATGTAAGGAAATCTCTGATCATAACTCAAATTTTAAAGAAGCTGTTTTGAAAACTTAACAAAAACAAAACTAATGTTGAATACAGGAGAATGAAGAATGGCCTGGACCAGGGTTGTCAGAAATGTTTCCTGTGCCTTGCTTTTACCCATAGCTAACATGGCAAATGAATCATGCTGTGCTTCCTTATTTAAATCTGAAAATGCCTCAGAATCCTCAAAATAGCATTCTAAGTAGCTCTATCCATCATCTGATTTAGAAGTATAAATTAATTCTCTCTGCTTTCCTGGCCTTTAAGTCCTTAACAATTTTGGCTGAGTAAAGTCCAGAAGGAGTTGAAGCAGATAAATATCTTAAAAATATCAAAAGGAAAATTTTAAAGATATATTAGATAGGAAGAAGAGTTGACAGTTAATAATTGACCAGTAAAAGGCAAGGAGAACCCATCTTTGGGCTAAATTGAGTAAAGCAGTTTTTGTAAGAGAGGATCATAACCCAAGCTGGGGGGGAATGAATAAATCTGACTCAAGTGAATTATGGTCTGGATTACTTTAAAAACTGAAAGAGGAGATCAGGAAGCCATTGTTGGTTATTTTACTGAGTAGTTAAGGAAAATGGAGAAATACCAAAAACTGAAAGCAGACGAAATATAATCCCAAATTTCTAAAGTTTGTGCTTGATTCCATATAACTTTTCTCTTATGTCAAATCCCAGAATCAAATAGTATCTTGTAGGGAGTTAGGGAGTGTCTTGTAGATCTCAGCAAGGTATTTCAGTGTGAGCTGAGAAGTTTGTGGTCTAAACTATGAATACACACAGGGATGTTTGAGAGTAATTGAATGACCATTTCCTGGGAGTTAGACGTAACACATTTGGGTCTTCTTAATGGAATACTTCCAAGGTTTGCTGAAAGGTTTTGTGCTTATCTGTTTTATTCACGTAAACTGTGCTGCTTCTCTGGTCTGTTTTATTGATGACTTTCTTGCACTAGAGAATCTTGCATACATTTTGGATAACATCATAGAAGGATATTAAATATATAGATCATTAAAATCCTGGAAAACTTGACAAAAATTCCCATTTAACAAGATTTAAATTAAATTCAGAATTCTTCCTTTTGATCTAAAAGGATTACTGTTTAAATCTGAAGACATGACTACAGCATGTGAACAGTATAGTCCATTGTTAAGGGTATGGCCCTCAGTTGTCAGACAGGCATGTTTAATGCTTAGCTCTGAAACTCTAGTAGTTATATGACCTTTAAGTATATTACTTATCTACTCAAAATTTAATTCTTCGTCTACTCAATGAGGATAATAATACACATTTCATAAGGTCGTTCAGGAAATTAAATGTGATAGTATATTTAAAAGCCTTAGTAGTAAGTGGGTGATATGTAGTAAGCACGCAAGTATCAGCTGTTCCCATAATGTAGGCTCCCAGAAAAGCAGAGGTAGAGTAATCAGGACAAGGGAAGTGCCAGTCTTGTTCATGTCTACTCTGAGCTGACTTTTAGGCACGTTTCCCCTGCCTCTCATTTTGTGTGTCATTCAGTTTTCAGTGACTCTTGTAAATTATAATAGCAGGTAAGGCATATAGTATAGCAACTGTTACATAGTAGTCTTATCAATTATTGGTTCTCTTTGGTTTTAAAGATAAGGTGAGTAACTGGAAAAATTGGGAATATTTGGCTTAAATAACAGACAACCTAGGAAATAAGACCTCTTTCTTCAAAAACAGAAGTACAAATGTCAGGAACGGAAGTTGTACAGTGACAGTGTTTTCTAATGATTACAAATGAGCTGTTTTGGAATAAAGTACTTCAGAAGATAGGGAATCCCAACAATGCTTTGAGTTCCTTTCAGCTTATAATTCTGCCATAATGGTAGAACCCAGGGCATTTTAAACACTTCAGTTTACCTGTATAAAGGAGAATATTGCTTCTAGATAATCTCTGAATCCAAACTAAAATTCTGTAATTTGTTCCCTTTTCATTGATTTTTGGCCTTATGAATCTTCTTAACTTACTTTAAGGTACAACTGTAACCGCTATAATGAGGATGATGCAAAGGCAGCAAGAGATGCACAGGAGGTAAGTACATTTTTTTCAGGTTACAGTTGGACAGGGATGTGCATTGCATGTTTATTAGGGAATAATTTAGCAGAAGTTTCCAATTTTGAAAGAGTTGTGGAAAGACACTCCAATAAATACTAGGTTTCTATGTACATTTAGAAAGGGAATCTTATCTAAAATACATATCAGTAACACTCCTGTTTATAGGTTTGTTTGCTTTTTTTTAATTAATCTAGTCGTGTAGTGCTGTTCCAGGTTTTAGTGTCAAGATTTTCTCATCCTAGCAAGGAGTCTAGAGAACAGTATTTGTTAAATAGCTGTTTATATGCATTCTTACTTCTTTTTAATTTTTTAACCTCCTTATTCATCAAGAAGTGGTAAGGATTACAGATGAACTGATTTAGAATGAACTGCCTCAAGAAGGGGGAGTTTACTCCCTATTACTGGTTAGCAGTATAACTCACTATTGTAGAAGGATTTACTTTTTTTTTTTTTTAAGATTTTATTTATTTATTCATGAAGAGACAGATAGAGGCAGAGACACAGGCAGAGGGAGAAGCAGGTTACATGCACGGAGCCTGACATGGGATTCAATCCCGGGGTCTCTAGGATTACACCCTGGGCCGAAGGTGGCGCTAAACCGCTGAGCCACCCAGGGATCTCCCAATTTTCTTTCTTCCTTTCTTCCTTTCCTTTCCTCTTTCTCTCTTTTTCTCCCCTCCCCTCTTCTTTCTCTTCTCTTTCTGATTTAAACAGTAAGTGTAAGGACACCTGAGAGGCTCAGCAGTTAAGTGTCTGCCTTCAGCTCAGGGTGTGATCCTGGGGTCCTGGGAATTGGGCTTCCTGCTTGGCTCAGCAGTTAAGTGTCTGCCTTCAGCTCAGGGTGTGATCCTGGGGTCCTGGGAATTGGGCTTCCTGCATGGAACCTGCTTCTCCCTCTGCCTTTGTCTCTGTTTCTGTCTCTCTCTGTATCTCTCATGAATAAATAAATAAAATCTTTAAAAAAAAATAAAAGTAAAAAAATAGTAAGTGTGGATTATGATCATCAACATTTTTGAGTTCTTTCAGCCTGGTAATTCTTTCATAATTGTAGAATCCTGGAATTTATTCCTTATATTCATCTATTTCATATTGAAATTCCCCAGTTGTCCCAAAAATATTCTTTTCAAATGGTTTTCCTTGCTATCATTCACAACTTCTATTGCTTTTTTTTTTTTAACTTTTTAAGTGTTCTTTTAAAATATATTTCTAATTAAGAATACCATAAACACAAAAGAATATATATAACTTAGTCTATCATATTGTTAGAGATGAGAGTTTTGTGTCTCACTATTTTAAAAAGCTGGAAAATGGTGTTTTGTATTTATAAATGATGGGTGGTGTTTCACAGATGCTCACAATATCTGTGATCCTTTTAAAGGAAAAACAAAAATTCCAATGTTGATTTAAATATTACTTAAATACATTTCAACATAAAACCACCTGTGTAAACTCTTATGCTCATATACAACTATATAACCAAACCAAGAAAACAAAATCTGTGAGGCACAAGTTAAAATTAGTTTGACAGGTAAGTTGTTTGTTGGAATTAAATTACTACTGATAAACTGCTGGGTGGCCCAAGTTTTTTTTAATGAATGTTACTATGCTACTAAGTGCCATGTGGCAACTTGTTTTCCCACTGACTTTCTAGATGTCAGTAATTGCAAATCTTTAATCCTATGGTGCATCATGATTTGATTTGATCAGAATTTATCGATTTATTCGTTTTCACATGTTTTCCTCATTAGCTCAGTACAATTAAAGTTAATGTTGCTTAAGGCCAATTTTAGCCATTCACAAATGTAAGACCTGAAATAAAACTTAAGTTCTTTGCTATAAGTTCATTGAGAGGATCCCAGAGTGTGTTGTTGTCAGATTTTAAAATATGTTTAAATCCTATGGTCTATTTAGACCAGATCATTTGGCTTCCCTACCCCACTCCCATCGAGTATACACAGACTCCAATTTGAGATGCATCATTTCATGCAGTTTTTTTTAAATTTCATGTAGTTTTAATATAAAAGTTCTATATTGACAGTCATGCTTTTCCAGCCCCCTATTTGGACTTGATTCTACCGTTATATTCTTTTTTTTAGCTCAATTTTTCATTGCATCTCCTTCTGTTGTTGTTTGTTTGTTTTAATCTTAGCCTTTTTCTCTTAAGGCTTTCTCCTCCTGTTTTAAATAGTCATGATTGTCTTAAATCCTGTTGAAGAAACCATAAATTTCTCTAAAGTTGATTCTAATTCTGGCAATAGTTATCCTGAGTCTACAGAGAAATGTTCTTTTTTTCTTAAGCTACATTGTATTTCCTAATTACTGTGGGATAGGCTTTTCATTTTTACCATTGAATGAAGAGTAATCTAGCTAGATCTAGCCAGATACGGTATTTACCAGTAGAGAAAAGTATATGGGTTATCCTTGGCCTCATTTGGGTGCTGGTAGACTCTCTTTCAGAGATCCACAGGGAGGGTGTATTACTATGCATAGCTTCTAAGCTAGTTTCTAACGTAGATTCTAGAGGCTGGAACACGTTATTTTTCTAGTTTGCATCTTTTGGACTAAACTAGAATCTTTGATTCTGTGAGTGTACAGAGAAAGATTTTGTAGGAATGGTTTTGTTTGTTTATTTAGTGGGCACTGTTCCTCCCAGAATGGAACACACCCTTACCTACCCATCTGGCCTCTACCTTCCTCACTTTGCTTACTCCCATACTCTGGCATAGTATTCACTGGGAATTGTAGCCTTAAAAAGTACTAGAAGATTGGCACACATTCCAGAAAGAACAGAGATGGTTGGTAGTTGAGTACCCTGGAAAGGTGGTATACCTGTGTTGTAGAAAGTTATTGACTCAATATATTATGCCACAGTGCTAATCTTGGTGGACATTTGGATTTTCTTATTTTCTAGACCAGGAGAGTCAATACGATTTTTCTGTGAAGGGCCAGATAGTAAATATTTTCAGCTTTACACACTGTATGGTTTCTTGACAACTATTCAACTCTGCCTCTGCTCTTGTAATGCTAAATCAGCTGTAGACTCAGATGAGTAGGCATGACAGTTATGGACAGAAGCTGGACAAAGTTCCAAGTTAACTCTATTTACAAAACCAGGCAGCAGCTGGACCTGGCTTACAAGCCAGAGTTTGCTTACCCCTGTTCTAGGCAGTCAGGTTTGTTGTTTTGGATTTTTTTCCAAAGTGTTTTCAGGTTATCACTCACTGCATTCTCAATCCAGATTCTGGCATTTGATTTAAAAGTTGGTCTTACTTGCAATGGTGGTATGGGTTTTCTTTCATGTTGAATTTTAGACGTGTTTTAGTGAGAAGCTATTTTAGAATTATTAAATCAAGTCCTCTAACATATCATGTATTTTAATATGGTAGTTTTGTTTTTCCATTTAATCTTGGAAATATGACAGGCTTGAAAATATTAATGCTTTGAGGGGGAGATAAAATGCCAAGCAGATTATTTTCTACATATTATATTTTGATTAACATAATTTTAGATTAACACATATTTATTAACATTAACATTAATCTTTAATATTAAAGATTACTGTTGAATGAATACTAAAGATTACCATTTAATATTTAAAGATTGATATTAAAGCTAATATTTAATCTGCTTTTTAATCTAATAACAATTACATATAATTGGCATAATTTTCCATTGTGTAAGCTTTGATTTGATACCTGATTCTTGAATAGTAATATTAGATTTTTTGAGATGTTTTGGTGTTGTATGATAGAAGAACCTCATGGTTGACTAATTATGTGGTTCAGATTAGTATTTGAAAGCTGGAGCCCAACCTCAGGGCCTGCTAGTGTCTGTGCTATTTGTAGTCTCTCAGGCCTAAAGAGAGGAAGAGGAAATGATAGTAAAAAGAAATATGCATGTGTGATAAGAAACCTTTTCATAGTGGTTTCATTTAGCAAACATTTATTAATCATTTTCTGCATATTAGGCACTAGAGATAACAGTATTACTTGTTACCTACGTTGGGGTGCCTGGTTGGCTCACTTGGTTAAGTGTCTGCCTTTGGCTCAGGTTGTGATCCTAAGGGTCCTGGAGTCCTGGGGAGGTCTACTTCTCCCTTTCCCTCTGCCCCTCCTCCCTGCTTGTGTGTTCTCTCTCTCTCTTTCAAATAAATAAATAAAATATTTTTAAACACAAATAATAAATAAAAACAAAGTCGCATCTCTAGAGATTGACAGTATACTGGGAGAGACCAAGGTGAATTATTTTTGCAGCCTGATAAATAAAACAAATCTAGATCAGATAATACTTCATGTATCTTTAAAACACTTTTAATATAACTGCAATACCATTATTATCTTTTTATATATATTTATTATGTTTTAAAAGCAAAACTTTAATATTAACTATCCAGTGTTCAAATGTCTCCATTTATTTCATAAGTTTTCTTTTATAATTGGTTCAAATCAGGATCCACACAGGGAGTTAGATTTGATTGACATCTCTTGAGTATTCCCTATTCTATAGGTCTTCCATTCCTATTTTCCCTCCACATTGCCATTTATTTGTTGAGGAAGCTGTCATTTTGTCCCAGAGAATTTTTCATATTCTGGATTTTGTTGATTGTAATTTCCTGGTATCATTTAATAGGCTCTTTTATCTCTGTTTTTCCTGAAACTGGTGGTTAATTCTAGATACTTGAATTCAGACTCCATTGGGGAGTATCACCTACCTGGTGATACTGTATACTTTCTTTCGTATTATATGAGGAGTTATATGATGTCTGGCTGCTTCTCTGTTGTTTTCTACTTTAAAATGTTGATACTTCTTACTTGTTTACTTACTGCATACTGCAGAACAGTGCTATCCAGTAGAGCTTTCTATGATGGAAATGTTCTTTATCACCACTGACCAAACATGCGTGTTGAGCACTGGGGAACTGAAATTTTTTAAATTTAAATAGTGACAGGTGGCCGATGGCTGCCATATTGGAAGTATAGCTATCAGATATTCATAGCAGTATTAAATAGCAAAAGATGGCCAGAGATGTGTTTGCTCCTGATTTAAGCCTAAATCCCTGTAGTGTTTCATCAGTAAATATGGTATCAGCTTTTGTGTGTATTTGATACATTTGTTATAATTACATTTCCTTAATTTTTCTTAATGGGACAGCGATCTAGGGCAGCCCTGCAGAGGTACCTGTTCTACTGTAATCGCTATATGAACCACATGCAGAGTCTACGCTTTGAGCACAAACTCTATGCTCAGGTGAAGCAGAAAATGGAGGAGATGCAACAGCACAACATGTCCTGGATTGAGGTGCAATTCCTGAAGAAAGCAGTTGATGTCCTCTGCCAGTGTCGCGCCACACTCATGTACACTTATGTCTTCGCTTTCTACCTCAAAAAGAATAACCAGTCCATTATCTTTGAGGTAGGAATAACAACTGAGTGGGGAAGAAAAACCCCCATGTCATAGGACTACTTGGTCTTTCATAGATAAGATATATAGAGTTTAAAAGCTTCTATCTGTTCAGAATTTAGATATCTTGTCCTAAACTGCATTCAGATTAATGTGGTTTAACCAGCTAATGATTAAGTGTGCAGACTCTAGAGTCAGCCCTGAATTTGAAACTGGATTTAATCAGTTTTTAGCTCTATTAACTTGGAGCAAATTACTCAACATCATTTATATTTTTATTTTAAAATGGAGATGATACTGGGTCGTCTGAGTGGCTCAGTTGGTTAAGCATCTGCCTTCAGTTCAGGTCATGATCCTAGGACCCTGGGATTGAGCCCTGAGTCAGGGTCCCTCCTCAGCAGGGAACCCACTTCTCCCTCTCCCTCTGCTTGCCATTCCCCCTGCTTGTGTTCTCTTTCTCTACTCCCCCCCCCCCCCAAATCTTTAAAATGTTAACAAGCTTTAAGTGAAATAATACATGTATATTGCTTATATAGCAACTGGCATATCATAAGTTCTCAGTAAAAGCCTTTATTCAGGCAAAACTAACATAAGATATTAGAAGTTAATATGGTGGTTACTATTGGTGGAAAAGTAGTGACTAACGAGGGCTTTTAGCAGTAAAGGTTTTTCAAGTAGAGTGGTCATTTGAAATTGATGCACAATAATGAAAAGAATGAGGTCTTAACATTTGCTACATGGATAGACCTAGAGAGAATAATTCTGAGTTAAATTAAGTCAGAGAAGACAAGTAACCATATGATTTCACTTATATGTGGACTTTAAGAAACACTAATGATCAAACAAAGAAGAAAAGGGGAAAAAAAAACACTCTTAAATACAGAGAACAAACTGGTGGTTGCCAGAGAGGAGGTGGGTGGGATGGATGGGTGAAATAGATAAAAGGGATTAAGAGGTATATACTTCCACTCACAAAATAAATAAATCATAGAGATGAAAAATGTAGCATAGGGAATATAGTCAGTAAGATGGTGAATACACTTATTGTGATGAGCACTGAGTAATGTACAGAATTGTTTAAATCACTATATTGCACACTTGAAACTAACATAACACTGCATGTTAAAAATTGATGCATAAAACATTGATGCCCGTAAATGGCAAGAGATACGGTGATTTAGATGGATAAATGTATAGGACTAGCCATAGTACTAAAGGATATAACGATTTTAATCTTCCATGGGTTGTTGCAAGAAGTAGGTGCAGCTAGCTATAAACAGGAATGGGTTTATATTTTTTCCGTAAGTTCCCTCCTTTTTTTTGAATTTCAGCAGACAGCAGTTTGCAGAAGTAGAATATTCCAAAAGACTTTTCCTGATTGTTTTTAGGACTTTCTCTTGATATTCTTCCAGAGGTAATGGATGAATCTTTTGTTCTTTTACCATGTAAAAAATTATACTAGGAAAGAGAGAACAGGTTGTTAGAGGTGAAAGTGATAAAGAGCTGACAGGTACAGAAACCACCTGTGAAAATTACAGAGTCACTGTTGAGAGCATTCTCTAGGCGAGGAAGCCAACGAGATGGTACGTCTTTCAGCTTTCATCTAAGCCAGAATTACTCTGTATTCCTCCTCCTCTCTTGCAGAATAACCAAGCAGATCTAGAGAATGCCACAGAGGTGCTTTCGGGCTACCTCGAACGAGATATTTCCCAAGATTCTCTGCAGGACATAAAGCAGAAAGTACAAGATAAGTACAGGTGAGATTTCTTGACCAGTTGTTGAGCTAAAGTTGCTGCCCGTGTGCCACTAAGTGGGGAAGTTTGATGATAGTGAAATTTGGATTTAATGTACCCAATAACCCCGTTGCTACCACAGATTTCTTCTGTCTTTTGGGCAACACATTGCAGATAGTGGTGCTAGTCAAGCATTTATCCCACTGGTTCTGCTTCTTCCATTTAGCTTTATTTGCTTAGTTGCCACATTGTGAGGAAGAAAGAACCTAAGAAACGCCAAGTGGTTATTAGGAGGAGGGGTGAGATTAGGGTGCTCGTGCTAGCCTGGGGCTTTAGAGCTTTTATTAGATTTGTTTTTTTCCTAAGGAGAGGATTACTATGTCCTAGGCGTAGAGGTTACTTCAAAGCGTGCTACCTCTTAAGCTAAAGATGCAGAATGTTTGCTTTCTCAACGTGGAGCTGTTCTCCCAAAGTTGTTTCCTTACCAAAACTAGTATCTTTTTTAATAGTAGTAGGAACCTTTGGGCATTTGGAAGACTTGGAGATGTAGTCCCAAGTAATATTTTCACTTCCCTTAGTCAACTGTAGCTACTGCATTTTGTTTATAGTCACTTTCACAGTTAACAAAGATTTTATAGATGTGAGTCAGTAACCCTTAAAATTACTTTTTTCTGAAACTGTTACTTATCTGTAGAATGACAGGATATGCTTAGGAATTTCTAACATTTTGTTACTCTAAAATTAATCTCCAAAACTGGGATTCACAACTTTTGAAGAATACCTTTTTAAAATTAGAAAATGATTTGTTGTGTACATCTAGACCTGAAAATGTACCTATTAAAAAAAAAAAAAAAAAACAAGTGCTTGTTCCCAGTCTGGATAAACTGTAGGAGTGCCTTAAAAGAATAAGTTAATGCCTCTTTTTTTTATTACTGGAGGCTGACAAGTGTTTTGTTTTGTTTTGTTTTGTTTCCTCTGATTGCAGATACTGTGAGAGTCGACGAAGGGTTTTGTTACAGCATGTGCATGAAGGCTATGAAAAAGATCTGTGGGAGTACATTGAGGACTGAGAATGGCCCTGCATAAAATGAACTCTGAAAACTTTACCATCTAGAGTGCTCATGCAATTAAAACAAAACAAACACAAACAAGGAGGCACTAAGCCTGTTCTGACACCTCTGGTCTGTAGTACCAGAATTCTGTTTTGTTAACGGAAAGTTTAAGTAAATTATATTGTAATAAAAAAAAGGTAGATAAACCATTGTACAACAGTATTCTAGGCCGCCAACAAAAGTGTGACAGACACACTAAAAGCCCTCCAACTTTAACTTGTAACGTAGCTTCATTCTCAAAGCTGACTCCTTTTTTTCTTTTTCTTTTTCCTGAGTATAGTACAGTTAAAATTTAAAACAGCTCCTTGACACTGCTTTTCATGTCCAAACCAGCCATTTTGTTGTACTTTGGTAAAGGACCTCTTCCCCTTCCTCCCCTACACATACAGATACACCCACACACGCAGACTGACTCTCTTTCTCTCATACCCCAAGGTCATGAGTGAATTAGTGAATTAGTTCCTTGTAAAGAAAATTCTTGGGGCAGGGAAGGGGGTAGGCAGCAAGAGGAATTAAACAAAAAAAAACAAAAAAACTTTGTATATGACTTTTAAAACAAGAGGACAACACAGTATTTTTCAAAATTGTATATAGCGCATATGCATGGACAAAGCAAGCGTGGCACGTGTTTGCATAATGTTTAATTACAAAAAATATTTATTCTTTAAAAATCTTCAAGATTATGTCTATTTGCTGTGCATTTTCTTTCAGTTTGCTTTATCTTTCCAGGGTTGAGGGTTGGGATAAAGGTGTGTTGGTTTAGCACCTCCGGAAGACCTAACTAGAGCTCTTTGATTTTACTTTCCTGAGATGACTTTGCCCTTTTTCCTTTTGATGTGTCCGTTAGTGGCCATGGGCCTCATGCCTTGAATTCCGGCTCTTGATCAGGGGACAGGGAGCTCAAGCCCCGCCCCATGCCATGGCCTGACAAGGGCTATAACAGGGAGCTTTGTGCTTTCAAGAATGACCCAGTCCCCAGCCTCCTCCCCCTCCACGGCCTCTTTCATCTACCTAAGCCTTTGTGTGCCCGTGTCTTGCACACACCTGAAGGCTTCCTATGCTCCCTCTCACATCCAGAGGAAACATTTCAACTTTTTTCCCTTTTTTTTTTTAACTTAATTGCTGCTTTTGAGCCTCTTACAATTTTAGTTATGGCTCTTCTCTCACCCCTTCTTTACATTAGGGTGTCAAATAGAATGTTTTTGCTTTAAATATGAATATAAATAAATAGCCATTCACTTAGTTTCAGATTGTGAATTTAAAATGGCAGATACTGAAATTGCTTGTGTGTGTTGCTGTGGGTTCAGTTTGAAGGCATCACCCCCTAGAACATAATATTCCCATCTAGTGCATTTAAATAGAAATCACTGAATTTGCTTCTTTTCTATTGTCAGCAGATAGGAGAATTAATAATGCATTTTAGCTGTGATGTCCATTTTTATGAAATTTCTACTAAGAGCTATGTTAAAAGTAAAGGATGGTGGTGGTTTTATTAACTATATACCTGTTTAGGCCATTCTGGCTGTGGTATTTTTCAACAGGTCAGCATCCCTAAATCTGTCAGTTTTATACAGGAGTGCAGAGTGAACTAGGCAACTAGATCAAGAGGTCTTAATATCAAATACCAGTTTTCGCGACCTCTTTGTCTTCCTTTAAATGTCTTGCGCCTAGGGAGTGTTTACCATTTGTGAGGCAGCTTTGTCTGCTCTTGCATTGTACATCTTATTACTCCATTGGGAAGTAGATTCACTTTCCTCTGGCCTTTTGCCTAAGTTAGGCTTTGCGGAATCAACCCTACTTTTCCTTTTAGAAAAAGGTTGTTACATGAGATGTACTTGCAACTGTTCTTTTCCCATCAAAAATCAGTGAATGTTTGCTGAGTATATTATGCTGCTTCCTTAAACCACTTGTCGCTTTAGGATCAACTTCAACCCTACCTTTTATCCTCCCTTCCCTTGCCACTTCAGGTGCAAATCTGAACTCAGTGTCTGCTTCTTTCATAGTCTCTTCTCCCCTGTCCCCTATCATTCATTTGACTTTATTTTAAATGACTGCATCAATCTTAAAAGACATTTATCAAAACTAAGGAGATTGTTGGTTTTGTTTTTTTTTTAACAGAAAGCTTGAATGAGTTCCTTTCCCTGGTAACTTTGAAAAGCAGCCAGAGTTGCTATCTAGATATATGTGGCTCCCTTAAAATGTTTTGTGTATGTGTGGTGTTTTTAAAAATCTTACCAGTTAACTGCAGTATCTAGGTTTCAGTGTCATAAATCCTCTTTACATGCCCCCCTTGCAACAAGTATCCAAAAACAATGTGTGTACTTCATAATATCAGCCCCACCTGTGCTTTTTAGAGATGCTTTTTAGTTTCAGTGTTGGCATATTACAAGGGTATTGCAGTTGTGGGTGCATTCCCTAATTTGTATGGATCAAGGTGAACTGGCCTTTTCTGAACTTCCAAGCTTTTAACAGCTATCTCCATATTTGACAGAATTTCCTGAGTTAATTGCTTTCATTGTTAGTAGCTTCAGTGACCCCAGCTGGGATAGGCAAGCCATATTGTATGACAGCTTCCCTATTTCACCAACCTAAGTCTTTTTGTCAGAGGGCTCTATTCACGGTAAGCACCAGGGTCTCCTAGTTTTCTTGAGGGCAGTTACATTGTCTTTTGAAAGTGCATGCTTCATTTGAACAATTCATTGAGCAGTAGATGGACTTTAAATGATTTTCAATAAAATTTTGATCCAAAGCTCAGGATACACACAGTGGTAAAATTGAGTAGCATATGATATCATCAAACTCTAAATTCTGTGTAATTTGCTGCGACCCAGATTGTATGTGTTTTATGTGTGTTTAAATAAATATATTAAATACACATGTGTATACATACACACATATATAACAGATCCAAGACTGACTGACTTGATTTGAAATGGTTGAATCTGCAGTGTGAAATGTGGTTCAGCCACAATTAGGAACTGAAATTTAGTACAAGAGAGAAAAGGACTTGATGTAACAAAATCTTTTAGCTACAAATCCCGGTATAGAGCACTTGGGGGATGGGAGGGGGCGGGTTGGTGAGACAATCAGATCGGTAAATTGATTAAATGCTCCTAACCCTGTAATTTTGTGCATAGAGCACCCTGTGCTGTGGAAATAACTGTTCTTAGATTTTCATTGTAACTGGACTGTTCAGGTTGCCCAGAGGGAAAGAACATTCCTAATTCTAATAAAATAAACTTTTATTTTGTTATTCCATTAGTTACTTATGTTTATTTTTATAGTTAAAAAAAAGATATATTGGTGGCCCAAGTCACCTGTATTATGTGCCTTATTCACTGTTCCTACTTAATATAAAATGACAAGATTTGGTTCAGTTTCTTTGCAGGGAACTGTGAATGAGACCATCCCCAACAATTAACTTGGTTAAATGAAGCCTTTAGAGCATTTTCTGAAAGCTTTCCAATTTCTGTCTTGAACACTGAATTTAAATTGCTCTTTGTGTTGTAACAGTGATATTATTAGGTGTTCAGATTTTTGTCAAATTTTTTTAACATAAAATATTTTAAAAGTCATTTAAACTCCCTCACATTGCTTCCATTTAGCTTACCCTTAAAAGCTACTAGGTATCTCCTAGAGGGATGGAGGGAGAGTTTTATCTTAAAGTCCCCATAAGTTGGAGATCTCTGTCATTGATATTCTAGCCAAGTCCAGATTTCAGGACAATTTAATTTGGTTTTATTTGGATTTGTTCATGTATCACTTTTGTCTTCAAAGCACTTTAACTTCTATTCCTGTCTACAGAGGTGTAGAAATTGCTCTGTTTTACAAAAGAAGAAAATGAGGCTCAGTGAGGTTAAGTGACTTGCCCGAGATTTCTCAGTTTCTTCTATCTGAGGCTCAATCAATATTGTACTACCTCTTTGTATATTAATTGGATCTCAGAATGACCTAGCATTCAGTACTGGGAAAGGTGGATCTTAACTACAGTGTCGTGCTTTCAAACCACATAAAAGACTACATTAATGCCTGTTTGAGGAATGTTATATACTATCCCTGATCTTTAATTTGTTGATGCAGGATTTCAACTAATGTGGCTCTGTGTTTTGCCCAATCAAATCAAACTAGCCATGAGAGAAGAATAGCCCTTCCCACTTTGCTGATTAGGACAGTCCTCATGGGAAGACTATCACATGTGATAGTTGAGAGTAAATGGTTCAGCATTATTTGATTTCATCTAGTGGCCAAGCAATTTGCAGTTAATTGGTCTAGTTATTTGCTCAAGTGAATTTTTAATATAAAGAGTTTTGGATAGCCAACTGGAACTTGTTACAGAATCTGTTTTATAGGTGATAACTGAAAATGGAGAAAACAGCCAATATCTACTTGTTCTCAGCATTTCTCCTTGGAACTGGAAGGCATATGGGGCTTTAAGAAGATAAGTAGTGTGACCATTATGGGAAAATCTTGGCTCCTTCAGGAATAGGAAAAAGTGTGGGCCCCTTTGACTTTGTCAAGTTTCTTTGGGGGATAAAGTTGGTGTGTTTCTGGTTCATTTTAAGGAATTTCCTTCTTAATACCCCAAGATGAAATCGCCAACTTGGAAATGCTCAACTGGAAATAAATGGTGCCTATTGTAGAAGTAAACTGACAACCTCAGAGTTTTAATTTTTTGGTTTTTGTGGAATTAAATCCGTTTTTAAGGCAACTCTTGGTCTTTCTCTAGGCAATAGCAGGATGGGAAAAAATAACCTTTTTTTTGAAAAGCAGTTTTCAGACTATGATTAAACCACACATAATGCTTGTTTGGAGCCATTTTTGGAGTAAGAGCCAATTAGTATATAAAAAATCACACATTGATGTGTAGCAGCTCTGACAATACCAAAAACATGTTATTATAGTAATCCAGGGGTCTTGAGTAATACAGGAATCTCAAATCTTAAATACAAGAGCCAGGTAAATATTTTAATAGACTACTGTGGGCTAAGTGGGCTCTGAGAGGAGCATGTGAAATACACATTATGTGAATTCTCAACTTTGACATGTTGGTAATTTACAATATTCTTAAATGTAGGTCAAAGAAAAATTATACTTGGGCCATATTGGTTTTTAATTTGTATTAATCTTCTGTTGCTACTGATTGCCACTGTCCGTCTGACACACTGGAATCACTAAGAAGCTTCAAAAGAACAAAAACTAACGCCTAGGTTGCATGCCGTAGAGATTATTATTTAATTGCTTTGGGTTATGTCCTGGGCATCAATAGTTTTTAAAATCCTATCCTTTCCCGTCCCTGATGATTATGGAACACAGTTTGTAGACAAGGTTGGGACAGTTGATCCAGACGTGTATAGTTCCATGGAGGGAGTACAGGTGAGCACTTGAGGTCATAAAGGACAGTGGATTTGTGGCAAATTCACAAGTTCAGGAAGGGGTTTTACTGTAGGTGGGCCCTAGCTGAGTGGGTTTTGTGGATTGGTGTCTCCTAAGGGTCTAGTGCGAAGTGCCCAACTTGTTTTTTGTCAGTTTTCTGGTATGTGGTCCACCTTGGTGAAAACCCCAAAGCAGAACTGACCAGCAGAGTAGAATGTTCAAGTCAGTTGGCAAGATATTCTCTTCCCAAGGGAGAGAAATCTATCTGGGAAGCCAGTTAGTGCAAAGCCTGAACAAGGGTAGTTGGTTATAAGCAAAGCTCTCATTAAACTGTTTGTGTCAAGTCAGTGTACAATTCCACTTAATCACTGAGAGTTAAATTCAGAGCACTTAAGAGTTTCAAGTTTCTCACTGTTGCTTCATTCTTGTGTTACAACTGTGGATTTTCGTGTTTTTATTCCCAGTGCGGTATGGTGGGAAAAAAATCCGTATTTCTCAGCCATAGTTTCTTATGGATTTTTCTTTTGTAACATGGGGATAATAAGTATATAACTTGTTGAGTGCTTCTTGCCAGATGCCTTATATTCTCTGTATCTTATAAGCAGTCCTAGAACAAAGTAGACATTGCTATCCTATTTTATAAATGAGAAAAGAGGTTCACAGATGATTAACTTACTGAAAAATTAGAGTTTATGGTAGGGTCATGCTTGTCTAATTCCATGTGTTCATCTCATCATGCTCTATTGTCTGTATTATAGGGATATTGTGAGGATCAAAGAAGATTAGTTGGAAAACAAAGCCTAGATACAAATAAGCATACTAATACTAATTTAGGGGAGGAAAAAAAGATTCAGAGCTGTCTCATGGACTTCCAAAGGCAGGGTGAGATTGGATCCAGGAACTGAATTGGCATTGTGTATCATCTGTACATCCACGTCATTCTAATAGCTTCTGCTTTTCCTGTCATCTACCCTGTAGCCCTGGGTGTTACATATTAACTGTGCCAGATAAATGAGACAGAACCAAACAACTGTGGGACAGGATCATTAATACAAATGTGGCTCAGAGCTTACTTCTGGATCGGGAGGCAGATCTTGGGAGGTCTTGGTTTGCTAGACACACAAAAGGTGTCCGACAAAATCAAAATGCCCTGAAGTTTTTCTTTCTTAAATAAATGTAAGTGATTAGTATGTAATAAACAATTATGCTAACTTAGTGTTTACCAACTGCTTCAGGTCCATATGTTTTAAACTCACAACCCCAATTGGCTCAATTGGAAGAGTGTGTGACTCTTGATCTGGGTTGTGAGTGTGAGTCCCACGTTGGGTGTAGAGAGAGAGTACTTAAAAAACAAACCAATCCTGTGAAATAGTTACCATATCCATTTTATAAGAGAATAGAAGCTTAAAAAAGGTGGGTAATTTTCCTGAGGTAATCCCTTTGTATATGGCAAAATGAAAATTCAAACCTGGAATTCTTCAGTCCAGGCACTGTTCACTGGATGTGCAGCAGTGATGCTGGTTTGTCTGAAGCTATTAAACCTGATTCTGCATAAAGACTCAATAGATTGCCCAAGGTCACCCAGACAGTGGCAGAGCTGGAGACACATTTTGACCACTACACTCCATTTCATCACACTAGATACTTCTCAGACAGCCTGGCTAAAAGTACCTGCTAAATTATATGGACTGGCTAAGGGATTTCCAGCTTTAGATTGCCTTGGAGACTCAATGACCAGTTCTTATTTTTGGTTCCTCTTTATTCAAAACGTTTCCTTTGTTGTTAACCTCAGATAATCTACTAAGAAGGACCCAAAGTATGCCTTGTTCTGTCTCACATTTGAGAACCAACCAACTCTCTTAATGAGAGTTAAGGAGCAAGCTTCATATTCTCAAACCTTTTTTAGAAGTCCAGTCTTGCCTATTATGAGCTGATGACTTGGTTTTTTATACACAGAGTAACATTTCTTGGCTTGGTGTCTTCTTTGGCACCTGTATGAGAGTTTGGTATTTGCTTTTCAAGCTGCCTGCTTTTTGCCATGGAGTATTCAAGTTTCTTGAAGGTGATCATAGGGTCCTAACTCTTGTTCTCTATAGTAGACAGTTCTCTGGACAGCTCTCTAGGCTGAAATCTTGCTTCGTAGATTTTAGATTGCCTTCCCATGACTAAAGTTGGTTTCTCTTTGTGTAAGAACAAAGCTGTGTCCTAGAAGCCATTTAAGTGCACATTAAATGGTGATTTCTTAGAATTGTGAATCTGGGGGTTGTAGAGTGAGGATTTGGTTTTCTCGAATCAATGGGCCATGGTGGGATTCCTGAAGAGTGAGCAGACACACAAAGTAGGATTTCATCCTAAGTTTTCTGAGGGACACAATCTAAAAACACACTTACTAAATTGCCCAGCTTACTCTTGCAGGGAGACACCCCCTATGTATTCTCCCTCTGCAGGTCACATCATTTGCTCAGAGGGAGTACAGCATAAAATGATAGCCAGGATTATGGAGCACCTCTTGTGGGCCTACTTGGACAGTAGACAATGCTCTAAAATTGTAAGTTTTTGCACATGCTCTCGTCATTTATAACCTAATTGCTGGTCTTCCTGGTATGAACAAAGTTGTTTGCTCATTAATAAATTCCTACTATATGACCCTGCCTTGTGGTTCATTTTTACATAACTAGGGCAAATACTAAAGTGTTTTTGTCTAACAAAAGAGGAAGCATGACCTGAGTGTCCAACAGCTTTGGAAAAGATGCCTGCTTTGGATAGGAAATGAGGGTTTTTTTGTTTGTTTGTTTTTGTTTTTTTAGGAAATGAGTTTATATCCAAAACTCCTACAACTAGCTTGGAGCATTGTAAAGGTCACGGCTGCAAATATCAGAGAATGGGCTTAATGAAGAGTGACAGCATTCTACATGCCTTTGAAGAATTTTCACTTTTTTTTTTTAACTAGCTTTCAGTAGAGTAAGTTAATTATTGTACTATCTATTCATGTTAAAATCACATTAGCACAAGTCAGTGCCTTACAATGGTCAAATGGTTAGTGGACAACAATGGAAATAAACTATTGTCTTAACAAAATTATTTCACAGATTCTAAATGCTGTTTCTTTGGGACACTCAATTGTGTGTCCTTTAAGATAAATTCTATAATCAAGGGCCTAGCCCTTAACAGACCCTGAGGAGAGCAAATAGGATAGGTCAGTCAGTAAAGGTTTGGAGACATGCTCCTGGAATAGGAATCATCCATTCACCTTTATTTTAAATTGATACATAGAATCAATATAAAATGCATACATTTTACATGTTAAGTTTGATGTTTTGACAACTGTATACACCTGTGTGATAATCCAAAAGAAGATATAGAACATTACCATTAACCCAGAAAGTTCTTTTGTGCATCTTTCAAATAATCTCTGCTCCCCTCCCTACTCCAATGACTATTTGCTGATTTTTATCATTAATGATTTATTTTGCCTGCTTTTGGACTTTATATAAATGGAATCATGTAGTATGTATTCTCTTGAATCTCGCTCTTCTTTCACTTACAATGCTTTAAAGATTCAACAATATCGTGTCTATTGATAAAAGTATTCTTTATTGCTAAGTAGCTTTCATTTTATAAATATAACACAGTTTGTTTAATCCATTCTCCTATTGATGAACCTTTAGGTTCTTTCCAGCTTGGGGGAATTATGAATAAGGCTGCTATGTATATTATTATGTAATTTTTAAAATTTTATTTTGTGGATACATGTTTTCATTTCTCTTGGATAAATGCCTAAGAGTAGAAAATTACTGAGTCATATGGTAAGTGTATGTTTAACTTTTTAAGGAACTGCCTTCCTGTTTTTCAAAGTGGTTTACCATTTTGTACTCCCATCAGTGATGTATGAGAGTTCTAGTTGCTCCATATCCTTGTCAGCATTTACTGTTGTTAGTGTTTTTTTATTAGCCATTTTAGTTGGTATAAAATAACTGTGATTTTAATTTACATTTCTCTGATAATGATGTTGAGCACTTTTCATATACTTACCTTACATTTTGTATCTCTTTCATGAAGCATCTTTCATGTCTTTTCCCATTGGATTGTCTTTTTGTGATTATTACTCTGTGATTTCTGGATACAAGTCCTTTAATGGATATATGTGCTGTGATTTTTGTTGTTTGTGGTTATAGGTAATGGCTTATCCACTTTCTTACTGGGATACTTTGATGAGCAGGAATTTTTATTTTGATAAAGCCTGTCTTAATCAATTTTTTCTTTTATAGTTTTATGACCTCCAGGTCACAAAGAACTTATTTTCTTCTAAAAGTTTTATGGTTTGGGGTATTATGTCTGAAATGGATCACAGATGGTCTAGGATCCATCTCAGTGGTTTTAAGCTTTACATCTATGGTTTGGAGTTTTATATTTAGGTATATGGTCCATCTCAAATTAATTTTTGTGTTCAAAATTAGGTTTATTTCAACTTGGATATCTAGTTTCAGTAACATTTGTTTAAGAAGATTTTTCTTCACCCATTAGACAGACTTGGCATCTTGTTTGAAAATCAATTGATTGTGTGTGTGGTTATTTCTAGACCATTTGATCTGAAGAACTTCTTTAGCATTTCTTTTATTGTTTCTCTAGAGATAAATTATCTCAGGTTTTATCTGTCATGTTATTATTTTACTTTTGTTTTTGAGGGGTATTTTAATTGGATATAGAATTCTATGTTGACCTTTTCTTTCTTCTTTCAGTAAAACATTTATCCTCAGGTCTCATTTGTTTCTGGTCAGAAGTCATCTATAGTTTTTATTTTTTTTACTTGTGCATAATGTAGGTTCACCCCTCTCCCCCATGATTACATCTGCTCTTTATCTTTGGTCTTCAGCAGATTACTAGGTATGTTTATCCTTATATGGAGTTTACTTAATCTCTTGGATCTGTGTTGATGTTTTTCACTAATACTGGATATTTCTTGTCCACTATCTCTTCAAATATTTCTTTTGTTCCATATTCTCTCACCTCTCTTCTCCTCTGAAACTCCACCTATACATATATTAGATGGTTTTATATTCCCTACAGATCTTAGAGGATCTTTTCTCTATTTTCTTGTTCTCAGTTTGGATACTTTCCAATTAGCTGTTCCCAAATTCTCTAATGCTTTCTTTTAACTCCACATAATGAATTCTGGGTGAACTCTACATCCAGCATGGGGCTTGATCTCATGATCCTGAGATCATGCTTCACGGACTGAGCCAGGCAGGCACCCCTAATATTGTACTTTTCATTTCCAGCATTTCATTATGTTTATATAGTTACCACATGTCTGCTAAAACTTCCCATTTCTTCATGAATGTTGTCCACATTTCCACTAGATTTTTTTAAGCATATTTATTATAGAAATTTCAAAAAACCTATCGATTCCAGTACTTGGCTTCCACTAGATTTTTTAGCATTTTAATCAGAGTTGTTTTAAAGATCCTAACTGATAATTCAGCATCTGGGTTGTCTCTCTAGTTCTGCTCCTATTGATCCTTTCCTGTTACCATGGATCTCATTTTCTTGCTTTTGCACATGTGTTTTTTTTTTTGCACATGGCTTTGATTTGATTGTATGCTGGACGTTTTGCATAAAAAAAAAAAAAAGAAACCGAAAAAAATGTTACCCTCAAATTGAGGCATGCCCATTTTTCTTTAAGCCAACTTGGGTGGTGGTTCAATTAATCTAATGTATATCTGACCTAGATCTGGGCTTTATTGTGGCTTTAAGTTGCCACTAGTTTTAAATATTTTGAAGGTAGAATCAGCACTTTCCCTTCAGTAAGTCCTGGGTTTTAGGCATTGGCAATATTCTAGAGATCTGACTTTGCTTCACAGCCAAGTCATCAATCGGTCTTTGGAAATGTGAGAGATCTCCTCTTTCTAGTGGAAAATGTGGACAAACTGAGCTAGCTGCCAGGTTTTTTGGTCACTGGAATGGGGCAATGGGGGAGGTATTGCTCTCATTTCCTGTATGTGCCCTACCCTAGTCTTTTGAGGAATAATGCCCACAGAACTTTGGGTGTGGATCTCCCAGCTCTCCCACCTCACTCTTAACCTTCAAGAGTGCCTCTGATGGATTTTTCAGTGTCCTTCCTTTGCTCCCTCATTTTTAAAGGGTATCTTGTATTTGGGACAGGCTCTACTTACCTCAAAGGCAGGACTAATCTGTCTCAACTCTTCTATTAACCACTCCATTCTCACTTTATTATGTTCCTGTGCTTGGTTAAGATACAAGAGAGAAGATTGGTGAGTGGGTGCAGGCGTTCTCTGTGGACCTGGGTCCTCTCAATGCTAATATCATGCCAGTCTCCATAGGCCTATTAAAATTTTGTTAAATTTCAAGTGGTTTCTTTTATTCCCCTATGGTGGATTCCTCTTCCCAGAATAGTTCAGGAATATGAGCAGCCATGGGTCTGTCTTTTCTATGAAGGACTGAGCACTTTCTGGAGGTTGGTTCATTTATGTTTCTTTACGTCTTTATCTTTTTGGTGAGTTTTAAAAGATTTTTGATCTTCTAGCTAATCTGACCTTTGTTTGCTAGGATGGGAGCCATATCCTCTTATGATTTTCAACATCCAAATAAGACATGAATTCCAGGAATGAGAATTTTCAAAGTGGTTTCATTTACATATTTTATTAACTAATTTTTAAAATTAAAAGTAAATGGATAATAAAAAGTCAAATTTTATTCAGTGGTAAACAGTGAAAAACAAAGTCATCTTCCCATTCTATTTCCCCTGGCCCTCTTTACTCCCTATACAAACATCATTACCAGTGTCTTGCAATTTCTTCTCAAAATTCTATTTAGAAAATGTGAATATATCCCTCCCAACTTATTTAAGAAACAGAAGCACACTAAGTTTTTTATGCTTTACCTTTTTTCATAGAATGGTTTCACCATCTTGAAGTCTTTTACAGGCTATAATATGTGTTAGTATGGATATACTTTGGTTTATGTGAACAGTTCCTGGTGATGGACATTTAAGTTGTGTCTTTTTCCCACAATGTAGTGTATATTCCTTTGCCCACATTTGCTGTTGAGTGTATCTCTAGAATCAGGAATGGGTATGTTTAAAATGCTTCATGAAGGTCCCTGGAGCTTCATATTTTATAGTGTTTTCCTAGGTGTTGGCTGGGCCCTTAGGAGTTAGTGGTATGCATTTTGGGAGGATCGGTACCACTCAAGAGGCAGAAGGTGCCAGAGTTGCCTAGCAGGTGGCATTAGAACAAAGCTGGCTGTTAAGATCCTATTAGTGTAGCTTTCTTTCCTTCTTCCCACTCTTTTTTTTTTTGGGGGGGGGTAACTCTTTCTTTATACGTATATTGGGGATGTTAAAAGTTGCTGATGCCTGATTCCTCTCCTGCATCCTCAAGTACTCCTATGGGGGAAAAAGATGAATGTCATTTTGTCTGGAATGCCTTAACCAGCGGTATGACTGAAATGATTCTGATAAGCAACATTACATCCAAGGACGATTTCTAAGGGAAATGGAGACTCATTTGTTATATAAGAAACAGTATCTGTGTGATTCTAGGATCTTCCTATGAAGATGCTATGTTTTTTGAGGAATTTGTTTCTAATTACCTAATTAAAGCACATTCAACTTAGTTATTTCAATTTAAGAAACCCAACATGCTTTCTTATTTGAAAAAGGCTCTTGCACAGAAAGTGCTCCATCTTTCTCCTAAGATCTGGGATCCAAAGGAGAGAGATATGTAAACATATTATAATAACAACACCTATTTATTTAATAACATAGGCATAAAGAATGTCATATAGTCCTCATAGGACCCCTTTCAGGGATATTTTAAATATTATGAAGTGTGTTTACGAGCTTGCCACCAACATCTGCTTCTCTAAGACTCCCCATTTAGTAATTGTACTATTCATCCAGTTGCTTTCAAAGTTGGAAACCTGATTATTTTCCTGTGATCTCTATCCCCCGCTCTCATTCTCCCATATACAATTCTACAGCACAGGAAATTCGTGCTAATATCCTTGAGAATCCATTCACTCTAGTCCAAGTGAACTTGTTTCATCATCTTTCGTTTTCAGTATCCTTTAGTCTCTCCTAGATTATCAATTCTTGTCCACCTCTTGATTCATTTTCCACTCATTAGCTAATATGAACTCTTTACTTTTTTAAGTTTATTATTTTTGGAGTGTCTCTACACCCAATGTGGGGCCAAGATCAAGAGTCACATGCTCTTCTCAGCTAGCCAGATGCACCTAACACGAACTCTTTAAATGTTAAATCTGACCATGTCACTCTTTGCTCAGAACTCTCTAGTGCCTTCCCACTGCCCTTAGAATAAAATCCCTCACATGAGCTCTGTGGATCTGCACCACTAGTCTTTCCTACCTCTCCACTCTTGCAACCAACTCCCTTTCCCTTTCTTCTTTCCAGCCACATTGGTCTTTTTGTGCTGCAAACTGGCCAAATTTCTTCCATCCTCAGGGCCTTTGCACAAACTCTTCCTTTGCCTTAGGATTCTTCCCAGGCCTGCCCACTTCCTCATCCCTGTTCCACAAGCTAATGCCTTATCCCCTAGATTTCATTTTAAAAATCTCTTACCCAGGGAAACTTCTCTGCCCAAACAAGTCTATATTGGATCTCCCTGTTATTTGCTCTTTTACTCTGTATTTTTCCTTATTAGCATTTACCACAATTCTACAGTTATGTAGTTTTCATTTAATTTTATTTTTTTCTGATTGAAATAGAGAATACATCTGCTTGGTAAAAAATTCAAATTGTACACAAGGTATAGAATAAAAAGTCTCTTCCCTGCCCCTCTGCTACCCAGTTGTTCTCCTTACTAGTAACCACTTACAGCATTTTGAATCTACTTCCAGAGATATTTTCTGAGTACACAAGCAATTATGTACATAATACTCATTTTTTGCCTTCTCTTTATTAACACAGATATATACATTTTTCTGCACTTTGTTTTTACCTGTTAATAATGTATCTTGGCAATTCTTCTATGTCAATATGTAAATAGTTGCCTCTCTTCATGTATCAGATAGTAAGTACGGGCTTAGCATAAATTTTTAACCTCAATGATTAGGCAATGAGGTTGTTTTCAGGCTTTGGTTATAACACACAATGCTGCATTGAATAACTTTGTATGTAAAGTCATTTCTCGCAAATGTACCTATAGAATAAATTCCTAGAATTCAAATAAGGGAATTAAAAATGATGTGCATTTTGAATTTTGGTAGTTATTGCCAAACTGCTGTCAACGGAGGTTGTATCCATTCATATCCCCACTAGCCACAGATGAAAAATGCATGTTTCCTCACAACTATGTTAGTGAAAGATTTTTTTTTTTTTTTTTTTTTTTTGCTTTGCCATGTAAGAGGGGGAAGGTATCTCTTGGAAACTTTAATTTGCATGTTTTTTTTCCCTTCCTTGCAAAGTTATACTTTGATGTCTAAACAGCCATTTGTACTTATTTGGTGAACTGTTTCTTCATAAATTTTGCTTCTGTTATTAACGTCTGACTTCCTCTCTCTACTTTTAAGGTCGGTGCTGTGGGTGCAAGGGCTCCTCTTGGCGGTTTTCCTTCCTTCCATAGTTTCAGGTCCTAGAATGAATGAAGTTCAGGAAGCGACGGGCTCACGTCACGCGGCGCTCCAGCTCCGAACTCGCGTCTGACTGACTCCAGAGCCCACGTGTTCCTTCCACGAGAACTCCCCCCACGCCAGGGACCAGAGGGGTCACGTCACGTAACCTGTGCCGGGGAGCGGGTTGTGCCCAAACCGCGAAAATCTGTCCAGTCGCAGCGTCCTTAGGCCGTTTCACTGACTTTTGAGGACCGCGTTTCCGGCTTTCCCGGGAAATCTCCCGGGTCCGATCCCATCGAGACTGCGCTCGTCGGCAGCCCGCCTGCAGCGCATCCGCAAACTCTGGCGCCAAGGGGAGCGGGAGCCCGAGGCGGCGAAGCCGAGGCTGGAGGTGACGGCTGAGCAGCGAGCAGGTTTCCGTCGGTCGAGAACGGGCTTCGGTACCTCAGGGCGCGGGGCCAGGACTCGCGGGGGAGCTGGAGGGCGCGCACGGAGGCGGCGGGGCGGGCGGGGCCGCGCGGCTTCCCCGACTCTCCGGGCGCCCAGGGGCTGTCCGGGAGCACGCGCGCTGCCTCCCGGGTCCCTCTCGGCACCCAGCCGCGGGCGAAGCCGCCCCCGACCCGCGCCGCGCCTCCCGAAGACCCTCCCAGGCGAAGGCCGCCGCCACGACCACCTCCCGCGCGGTCCGGCCGCTCCCTGCGTACCCCGCACCACGACTTCCGTTCGCCCGACGTCTGCGAACCGCCCACTTCCGCCCACGCAGCGGTGGGCGGAGCCAAGATGGCTGAGGAGAGGCTGGCGACGGTGAGCGCCGACCTGCCGCTCGGTGTCCCGGCCGCCGGGAGGGGTGGGCCGCCCGAGCGGAGAGGCGAGGCGAGGCAGGCTGGCGGGCGGCCTGTGCCCCACGCAGCTGTTCCCGGGGGAGGGCGGAGCCGGCCCTGGAGCCGCTGGGGGTGCGCGGGGCGGCGCGGCCCGGCTCCTGGGAGCGGGTCTCCACGGGCGACGCGGACTTTGCGGCGCTGGGCCCGTCCGGGTGGTGGGGTTGGTCTCGTCCAGTCCGATCTCGGTCTCGCGAGATTTGGGAAGGAAGCGCTGCCGGCCGGGCCGCGGTCGGGGTTAATCCCCGGGACTGGGCTGGGGGTCGGACGGAGCCCGGGGCTGTCGGCGTCCGCACCGCCTGCCGGTGGGCGGGCCGGCCCTCCTCCGCGGACCTCTCCGTCTTTTCTCTTTTTCTTTCCTTTTTTTTTTTCTCTTTTCTTTCTTTTTCCTCCCTCCTCCATCCTCCCCTTCCATCCTCCCGGTCCCTCCATCCTCCCCGTCCCTCCCCCTCCCCTCCCCTCCCGTCCCTCCCCCTCCTTCTTCCCTCCCCTCCCTCTCTCCCCCTCCCTCCACCTTCCCTCTTCCCTCTCCCTCCCTGCCTCGCTCCTTCTCCTCCCTCCCCTCTCCCCTTCCCTTCCCCCCTCCCCCTCCCTCCATCCCCCCTTCCTCCCCATCTCTCTCCCTCCCCCCTCCTTCTCCTCTCTCCCCTCTCCCTCTCCCCTTCCTTTCCTTCCTCTTATCAGTTTACCAGCATCTAGTATAACACCCAGTGCTCATCCCACCAAGTGCCCTCCTGAGTGCCCGTCGCCCAGTCCCCCCACCTTACCCCCCTTCCGCAACCCTTTTATTTTTTCTCCGTTGTAATTTAGTTAGGAAAGTGCTGTGTTGCGATTCAGCGGGAGCCTGAGGTAGACATTAATTAAAGCCCACAGAGATGGTAATAGAGTATCCCAGAACTAACTCAGGGTGACCCTGTGGCAGTTTGTGTAGTGTCTAGAATTGGATCTAATTTCTGCAAAGTTCTAAGTGCAAAACCTTGTCTACTTCTGGTGTTGGGTTTCAAAGCATCTTGTGCCCTTTTGTTAGAATGGCTTTAGTTATTTATTTGGAATGTATTGCCCTTTGAAAACCGGCCTGGAAAACATAGGAGACAACATACAGCACTTTTTGGCTGTTTTATAACTTACTTTTGGGCCATTAAGGAGCAAGGCCAGTGCTATCTGGGGGTGGCGGGTGGGGGGTGGGCTTGTTTTCTATTCCCTTTTCATACCCAGAGAAGTCAAATTATTTTTAGTGTCATCATAGAACCCTGAATACAGGGACAGAGGCCCAAATCAAAGACTTTTGTTAAACTACAAAGTAAAAAAAAAAAAATTAAATAGCATGGTTAGTGTTACAAGGTTTTAGATATTAGAAATATGGCAAAGAAAATACTTCACCTCCATAAATGTAAGGTATAATGGTAACACAACATTGCTATGAATACAGCTTATTTCTCCAGTGCTCATTGCCCATAGAGATAGGTGTTTATAAATAGAATATGAATGTGATTTCTGTGATGCCAGAATTGTCCTGACCTTTCCAATCTAATAGTATCTCACAGAGAATGGCTGTTTTGTTTCAATATGACTTTAGCTCTTGAGCCTAAAGTTAACTGGTTATTTTCATTACTGTCAAGTTTATTGCTAGCAGGGTTATAGTTATTTGTAGGAGTTTCATCTTTTCACATTACCTGTGCATGGAGATTTGAATTTTGCCCTTTTTGGAAGTGATCTGGTCTTGTAATAAAATGAAAAGCCCCCGCCCCCCCAGTCTCATTCACTCAGACAACTGACCTGTATCTCCCTGAAGTAAAAGCAAAAGAAAGCACAGAGTGCAAGGGTATTCATTTGCAGAATTGTTGATAGTGGCAAAATGCTGGAAGCAAGGTGAATACCCATTCATAGGGGAATAGATTACTTCTGATACTTCCATTCTGAGGAATATTATGCAGCCATTAAAAGTGTTAGAACTCTATAGGTTGATGTGAATGGTATACATTTTTAAAAAGCTAGATGTGCAGTGGAGTACTAAAAAACAAAATTTAACTGAGTAGACTTTAAAGATCTTACTGGCTTTATTCAGCGATTCGTGAATCAGACAGCGTTCCTTCTCCCAGACAGGAGCTCTGAAGAGCCCTACAAATGAAAGGCTTTCATAGGTAGAAAGGAGTGGGAACAGGGAAGTTCTACTAGACAAAAAGGTTGGTAATTGCAAGGTCCCTTTCCTCTAGGTGATGGTAGGGGTCTTCAGGCACATTACCTCACTTATACTGATTAGATGGTTTCTGATTGCCTGGTTTAAGATTCTGTTCCTGGGAGGTAGAAATTCAGTCTTAGTTTGTTGACATGGGACTTAGCTCCCATGTCAAATAACTCCAAATAACTCCATTTGGGGCTTTTTTTTTTTTTTTTTTAAGTAGGCTCCACTCCCAGCGTGGAACACACAACACAGGGCTTGAACTCACGACTCTGAGATGAAGACCTGAGCTGAGATCAGGAGTTGGACACTTAACCAACTGAGCCATCCAGATGTGCCCCCCCCTTTTTTCTTTTGCTTTTTATTGGGGTATATCGTGTGATCTTAATTTTGTGGCATAAAAAAACCCACATAGATCTGTGGATATGGGTATATAGGTGTGGAGGAGAGAATACTAAGAGACTTAAAACAGAGACTTTTAAATGCATAAGTAAAAATCTAAGACTGCTGCTGTACAGGCCTTGAAGCCAGGAGACATCCCAATAAAATGGAGTAAAACAAGGCTAATATGAGACACACAGAAATTGTAATACACTACCCAGACTACCAAGGATTATTACCAGTTAGTTCCTTGGGAAAACTGGGGACTGATATTTATATATTTTTAAAGAGTATATAGTAAATGATTTAGAGATCTTAAAAATAAAAGCAAATAATACTGCTTTCTATGATTTGTGCTTACAAATTTTTTACAACTTCCTGATTCCCATTATTCAGTGTATTTGTATAAATATCTGTTTTTCTTCCTGTAAGTTTAAAGATTAAACCTTTCAGAATGGAAAGCAAAAATTACTATTGTATTAGTTGACTTGGCTCATATATAGTGCCTAGCACATACCAAATATTACATAAATATTTGTTAGATGAAGAAAAGATCACAGAGCTACATAAAAATGAAAAACCAGAAGAACATAATGAATTCTCCATACATCCCAGCTGTGAAGATTAAGCGGGCTAATAGAATCCTTTCTATCTGAATGTTGTGAAAGACATTTTGAAAAAGAGACTAAAAGATTATATTTTAATTCTCCTTTTGCAGAAAGATTGCTGGCTCATGAAGATGCTTTTTGAGCCTTTAAGATTTTTATTTTTATTTATTTATCTTTTAGTACTCTCTATGCCAACTGTGGGGTTGGAACTTACACCCCCAAGATCATGATTTGCATGCCTTGCTGACTGAGCCAGCCAGACCACCTGAGCCTTTAAGATTCTTAATATGTTCCCCCAAAGTTTAAAAAAATCCCAATTAAGGCCACCTGGATGGCTCAGTCAGTTAAGCATCTGATTCTTGATTTCAGCTCAGGTCATGATCTCAGGGTTGTGGGATCGAGCCCTGCATTGGGCAAGGAGTGTGCTTGAGATTCTCTCCTTCTGTCCCTTCTCTGCTCATGTGCATGCTCTCCCTCTCTCTAAATAAAACCTTTAAAGAAAAACAAATCCCAGTTAGAAAAAAATAGAGTTCTTTAGCATTTTAAAAACCAGCTATGTTGAGGTATAATACACATACCATAAAATTTACCCATTTTAGGTGTACAGTTGGATCAATTTTAGTAAATTTATATATTTGCAAAACTGCTACCACAATCCTCTTACCTCCATCACTCCAAAAAGTTCCCTTGGGTCCATTTGCAGCCACTCTCTACTTCTAACCACTGATCAGTGGCTGACCACGGATCTTTCTCCATTGTTTGCTTTTTCTACAATTTCATGTAATCACACAATACAGTCTTATGTGTCTGAATTTCACTTAGCATGTTTTTTGAGGTTCATTTATATTGTACATAGCAGTATTTTGTTCCTTTTTATTTCTAAGCAATATTCCATTGTATGAATATATACATTTTTTTATGCACCAAGTGATGGACATGAAGACTGGTTTCCTGTTTTTGGCTATTATGAATGTTGCTGTGAATCTTTGTACGGATATGCTTTTATTTATTCAGGAGTGAAATTGCTGGGTTATATGGTTAGTGTGTGTTAACAACAAAACTGCCAAAATTCTTTGTAAAGATTTTATTTATTTTAGAGATAGAATGAGTGGGAGGAGGAGCAAAGGGAGAGGGATAAGTGGACGCTGAGGTCAGGAGCCCAGTGTGGGGCTTGATCTCAGGGCCCTGAGATCATCAACTGAGCAGAAATCAAGATTTGGATGCTTAATTGATGGAGTCACCCAGGTGCCTCATGCCAAGCTTTGCTAAAGTGGCTGTATGTACCATTTTACATTCCCACGAGCAGTATGTGAGGGTTTCAGTTTTCCACATACCTGCTTTGTTAATACTTCATATATTGTCAGTCTTTTGTCATTCTAATGTATGTATATTGGTTATTATGGTTTTAATTTATATTTCCCCAACGAATAATGGTATTATCTTTATGTGCTTATTCATCCGTTTCTCTTTAGTGAAGTGTGTCTACAGATATTTTGCCCATTAAAAATGGGTTATTTGGTTTAGTAAGATTTCTGTATTTGTTAAGTCAAGATAATAAAATAGCTAATAGAACAAGTATGTATCCTGTTTTATTCTGAGAATCAATTTTTTTGTTGTTGTTGTGAAGTGTATCTTAGCTCTAAAAGAGTGAATAAAAGGTTATATGCAAATTTTAAAGAACAGGGTAATGGAAAGTTGTGTTTCTACCTCACAGGTTAAGAAATGGGTCATTAACAATAACTTTGAATCCTAAATGTT